TTGTATGAGACAGGGATCGGATGAAGGAAGAGATGAGAAGACAGACGCACCAGTCTAAGAGGTAATCATTTAGGACTTCAGGCTACACATTATTTTGGATTCCCAAAGATGTAAAGCTCTCCATTCCAGAGTGCTGGTAGGTTACAGCCCAAGGACTTGGCTGGTTTTATCAATCTGGAAGTTCAGAGTTAGCGCAAAAGACATCCCCAACACCTGGATCATGCATACACTGATGGTGATGATTCCAATATACAGGAAATTGGAGTGAAACCCCTGTTTTGCTTTTGCATAGCAACCCTTAGCTTGTGGATCTGAGGGGCAAGATGATGGTGGGCCTGAAGTCCAATCACTTGTGCCATTTACACCACAACAATGCAGAAATGACTGGATAGAGTCCCACGCCTCCTTGGTGCTGTTGTTGGTGTGGTAATGCTGGATGCTCTCAGTCAATCCTTCAGACACATACAGACTCAGCTTCTGTTCATATACGAAGAGCAGGATGGCCAAGGTCACCTCCGCAAGGAGGATAATCAGCAGTAGAACAAAGACCGACATAAGCAGGCACTTGTTCTCCTTGATGGAGCCCATGCAGCCCAGGAAAGTGATCACCATGACAACGGATCCCACAATGATGAAAGCATAGCCCAGTGTGAGGAACGGGAGGTTATGGAAGAGCACCCCAAAGCTGTTGTGGATTTGGAAATAGATCCTAAATCCTAAGACGCAACAACCACAGAACCAAAAGAACAAGTTGAAGAAAAATAGGACATACTTCAGCAGTTTCAAGCTACTCATGCCCGTGTTGTATATTCTTGCCCTTTTTTAGGCACCTGTGTTAAGTCCTTTGAACAGAATTTGGCAGTTATCCTTGAGGTGACTACAACAAGGCTGCTAACATGGACGTCTGGGTCTATTTGTGAAAAAGGAGAAGTGAAGAAAGGATAAATATGATCACGCTGTGACGACAGGAAGCCCAGATGAGAAGAGGCAGCATCCAATCTTGTAAGAAGTAAAGCAATGGTTATTTGCAGATATGATCCTATACATAGAAAGTACAAAGTTTCTACAAGAAAAGTTCTGGGGCTAGTAGCAAAATTAAAAGACAACATAAAAAAAAAATCAATTGGAGTCCTTACACTAATACAGAAAACTCTGAAAAAGAAAGGAAGTAAACAGTACCATTTCCAATATTTACAAAAAGATGAGATATTTAGAAATAAGCCTAGTTAGGTATGTAAAAGACTTATACAGAGGAAACTACAAAACACTATGACAAGAAACTTAAAAAAAGCTACATATGTGGAAGAACATGCCATTCACATGGATAGGAAGACTTAGCCCTGCAAAAATGTAAATAGTACCCAAGGTAATACTGCAATTCCAGTCCATCTGCATTCTTTAGAAAAATGGAAAAATTAACCACCGCTTTTATATGGAAAGAAAAGAGAAGCAAAGTGTTACTGAAGAAGAACAAAGCAGGAGACTTCACACTTCCTGCTCGCAGAACTTAATATACAGCCTGGAAGTCAAAACTACCTGATACCAGTAAAACAACAGATATGCAGACCAATGCAAGGGAAGCTATCCTTACGGATCTTCAACAAAGGACCCAAATAGATTAATTGAAGAGAAAATCTCTTTAACCAACGGTGCTGGTAAAACTGGAGGTCAACCTCAGAAAAAAAAAAACACCCCACCAAAAAAACAAAACAAAACAAAACAACAACAACAAAAACCAATAACGTTGCTTCACCAAAGAAGATATTCAGATGGCCAACAGCACATGAAGAAATGTTCAAAATCCCTAGCTCTAAGAGAGATGAAAATTGAAACACTATGGGATATCATCTCACCCCAGTAAGAAAGTAAAATTTAATAGAACAGCAAACAACAAATGCTGGCAAGGTTGTGGAGAAACTGGAAC